GGGGTGGGGGCTGTTTCCGTTGCGCGGGACGTTAAAGGTCAGGCGAGGAGAACCACCCAGGGTGGGGGGGAATCGATGAGGACGGGGACTTGCTGGAGACCAGCTGAGCATTTTGCAGGAACGCCTGCCATTCCTGGCTTAGAATTTTTGCCCCTAAACTCAAAAATCGTGTGGAGTTAAGACTGAAAGCCTTGTCAGTCCAAACAGGTCAGCAAGATATACATTCACATTACCGTTTTAGCATGTCAACATGACTTTTAAATACTTAAAACTTTAGGGGGGGTGTATTTTTTTTGCATTTGTGTGTGTGTGCCCATGCCCGGAAGTCATGGTGATCTCTGATGACTCCTATTGGGGCATGTTCAGAGAAGTGGCTTGAAAGCCTGCCTCTGCCTCCCAACCCTGGTATCCTTTGGAGGTCTCCCATCCAAATACTTGTCAGGTTCAGCCTTGCTTAGCTTCCGAGATCTGACAAGATCAGGCTTGCCTGGGCTATCCAGGTCAGGGCATTAAAAATATAGTTTTTATGAACACTTTTAGGGCCTTCCAGGCTCTTCACATCTATCCGTCTCAGCAATGATTACAACATTTATTAGGTCAGAGGTGTTGAACTCATTTGTCACAAGGGCCAGATCTGAAATAAATGTCACTTTGTGGGGCCAGGCCACGTGTGCCATAAAATGTAATGCCAGGTACCGGAGACATAAACTGTATAAAGGACAGCAGCTGGTAATCTACAAGTTGGTGTATCCTTGCTGCAAGGCCTCATGGGCTGGGAGGGAGGTGCAAAGGAAAATCCATATGGGTAGACCAGAGAGCCAGCGGTGCAGTACTGGGCAGATGCTCCCACACTGCTTGACTGCTACAGACGAGGTTGTTCTGCCGTGCTGAAGCCACAATCAGAGTGGCTCTGCCCATTCCCCCTCAAGCAGTCTCCTGTTCCCTCCCTTGCACTAGTTGCTCTTGGGCCGCATAAGAGCCCTGGGCGGGCCGGTTTCAGCCCCTGGGCCTTATGTTTGACACCCCTGTATTAGGTCATCATTTCAGAAGCTTTTCAATACTAAATAAACCCTGAATATGCTGTGCACTTCCCCAGAATTCTGCCACACTCCTGGCTTCTCATCTACCACAACAATTTAGTTATGTACAGAGAGGCAGCTCATCAAAGCAAGGTTCCATCCTGCTAGGTGAACTCATCCATTGCAGTTCAGGACAGTACTTTTGCTTATGTTCCTTTATGAGTACAACCAACCTTAATGTGATAGAACAAAGACAAATTGGTCCATCTAGCTTAACAGCTCCCAGAGTTTCAGACAGAGGAAGGTCTTTTTTAGCACCTGCTACCTGTGGTCTTGTTAACTGGAGTTCACAGGGATTGAATCTCAGATCTTCTGCATGCAAAGCATATGTTTTACTGTAGAGCCGTGTCCCCTCCTTTCAGTGCAAAGGTAAATGATTAAGCAGTCTGAGGACCAAAGCCTTCCTCTGGTTTGATCTCTGAGTGCAGTGGGAATTCCACACCTGTTTATCAGCTTCCTAGAAATTCCTGGTTATTTTTTCTTAGGGAGTGATACTAGCCACAATATTCAGGGCAGTATGGCTTCAGAACAGAGGCCACATTTCCATGATGCGGCACAGGCTTTGCAGGCAGGTTCAACCCCAGATCCCTCCACTCAAAAGGATCTCAGGTAGCTAAATTTGGGATTACCTCTGCGTGAGCCTCTGGAGAGCTGCTTCCAGTCAGGGTAGACAATAATGGAATAGAGGGTTCAGTGGTCTGGTGCTATATATGGCTGCCTCCAGTGTCCACTGAGCAAACACTGCAATTCAGAATGGAAATTCTAAGCTGCATCTATAGATTTTCATTAACTGTTGTTTCAAAGGCAGCAATAATTCTTTTTTACTGCTACTTTCATACACTGTTGGCATTCAGGTGCTCAGCCAGCCAAATAAAATATACACATGAGCAGTTCAGCATTGCCAACTCCAGAACCCAGAGAAAGTGGATTAATAATAATTCTGATCAATCCTATAAAAACATAGATGGGTTCTAGTTCCATCCAACTGGCACATGCCCAGATGCCTGTGCTGCTGCCTGTTGTACTTCTGCAGACAAGAGCAGAAAAGGGATCTATGGCCAAGATGTATATGTACCATGCTGGCATGCTAAATGCTGAAGATATGTGAATGAGGGATATGCAGTCAGAAATTTACTGATCGAGATACAACCCAGTGTTCATGCATAAACATTATAATGTTCTGAATTCAAACAGAATTATTTCTGATACCTGAAACCTGGTTGTTCTGGCACTTCAATGACTGATTTCAAACTTCCTGGGTAGTGGGAGGTGAGAAGGACAGCCAAGGAGAGATATGTGCCTGAGAGAGACTTCTTCTAACCAGAAAAGTTAGCCCATCTTCCCATCAAAGAAAATCACCCCGATTGGTATTTCTGTGCGCAGCATTTCCATGTTTTGCCAGTCATTAACTCCAGGAGGGTTTCTTATTCCACATAAGTACTGGCCATGTTTGCATGAGCTATTTTGTGATCTGGGGCTGTTCTTGCTAGGCAGGGGCAATGACACTGCTTGCAGACATTGTAAGGCAAGGCAAAGGAAGGAGGACAGAGACAGAGGCTTAGCCTCAGGCTTCATGTAATATTTACATTATTTATAGTCTGCTTTTCTCTCTGGGACTCAAGGTAAATTACACGGAGTAAATCAATGCAATCAATAGACCAGAAGTGAAGCACAGCACAAGTATTACAGTGACACATTAAACAAAAGCAAAAATTACATGGTAAGAACCTCCTTACAGCAACAGCGAGTACAAAATGGTATAGTCTACAGTCCCAGTACTTTATCCCCAGCTTCTTTCTTAACCGTATTGTTACAATGCAAAAAGCCCTCTTGAATAATTTAGCTTCCCATAGCTCATGGAAAGCCAGGAAGGTGGGAGCCTCGGCAAGCAGATCATTCCATAAGGTGCCGGCCACAACAGAGAATGTACGTATGCAGGCAGTTGTTGATTTTGCCCATTTGCAGGGTGGCACCTGTAGAAGACCCTGCTCAGATTAGCAAAGCTATTGTCGCAGAGCATGGAGGGAGAGGCAGTCCCACAGATATGACGGACCAAGGTCATGGAGGGCTTTGTATGTGATAGCCACTACTTTAAACTGAGCCCAGTAACTGATGAACAATCAGTGGAGTGAGTGCAGAATGGGAATAATATGCATGCTCCATCTGGCTCCTGATAATAACTGAGCTGCAACATTCTATACCAACTGTCTCCAGATTGATGTTGAGGGGAGACCTGTGTAGAGTGCATTACAGTAGTCTATTCAATGTTTTATGTTATCGTTTTTTAAATTTTGAAATGTTTATTAAGATCAAGTATAACATATCAAAACATACCATAACTTCAAAACATTATGCAGAAGTCTTGAGAATCCGAAATTACAAACCAATCGGTTAGTCACCAACAAAACATTAACATACATCTACAGTTGTAACATAATAAGACGGTATCAATTCTGTTCACCCATACAAAAGTGCTGTTTAAACCATAAATTCCAATGAATTGAGTCAAAGTCTGTTCAGTGTTATCATGCTATGGATCCAGGTGGCCCTTGCCCTGTGATAACAAGCCCCCCTGTAGCAGAGGAAAGAAGCCAAGGGTGTATTTTGCACATGCTGACAGCTAGCCAGCACTGCAAAGGTAGAGGAAGGGAGCTCCCGGTCGCCTGTCAAAGGCAATGCTCTGTGTGACCGCAGCCATGGTTTCCTTTTTGTTTTATATGTCCATTCTCCCTTTTAATCAGACCTCTGATCAGGGCCTGAGAGCCATTACTCTGTCCATTGTTTTATTACTTCTAGGCAAGTGAGATTGATAGTTTCTAAAATGGTATTTGGTTAGGCTATATTCTGAGTTTTAAATAAATAAATAAACATTTTTACCCTTGCGTTTCCTTCTGGAGAGAGCCATGGATTGAATATTAGAGAATCTGAGAACTTTTCACACCATTTAAAAGCACTGCCGGAAGTGAGCACCAAGGCACTACCAATGAGCTGCCAAAGTCCTCACCTGCCTGGGGAACAACACAGAGTATCTGCATTGAAACTCATCCGGCAGCAAGGAGTGCTCAGCCAATGAGTCCTCTCATTGGTCATCTGCATCTGGCCTCGTACTCCAAGCAGTTCATGATGTTACTTGGATACATTCATGTCCTGAGAAACTTCTCACAGGCTGCACCTGTTATTGGCTCAAGATCATCTCCTATCTCTGGCTGTCCGCACAACAACTCTGGGAAAGGGCAAGAAAGCAACACTTGTTGCTATAATCAG